GATATTTATATATATGTACAAAAACATTTGCACACTCGACGCAAGAATTCATGACAAAAAAAGTGTGCCATCAATTATTTACAACATAGAAAACCATAAGTTATCCGCATGAACATCAGGAGGGAACAACAAGAAGCCAGAAGCAAAGAGGACAAAATCTCGCTCGCCAGACGCCACAGCCACTCACTTCAACGACATTTCTCCTCAGGGAAACCACAGCGCCTTTCTCTGCGTTATTACAGACTGTCTTCTAAGAGAGACGGATACATTCTTTCCATCTACCGGACAAACTGGCAGACTTTGAATATTTTGCGATGATGCTTCCCCGCTGGCCAGGAAGTGCCTCCTACATTTATCGGTGGCAGCAGCGCCACTCCAGTCCAAAAGGAAGAAGAAAAACAAGAAAGGCCTGCACTGCTGCAACAAAGTTTCCTCAAACATACAAAATTCCTGCCAGCCCAGCAGCTATATTCCTGGCTCACAGACTGCTGTCACCTTTTTTGTTTTGTTTTGTTTGGGGTTAAGTTTTTATTCAGACAGACCGAGATCCTCGATAAAAAAAATATTCTCCCCACTTGGGTCTCCTGCGTGCCACAGCGAAGAGCCTGACAGCAAAACAACCTTCCCCGATTTATCCGGAAAAAAATCAGGACCCGGATAGATCGCCCTATGTAGAATTACTGTCAGCGGGGAAAATAAATAAATGAATGGTGGCCCACCCAGCTGGAAATACTATAACTAACTACAGAGAACAGATATTTTCTTTCCGGGAAAGAGATAGAAACTTACAACTTAACTCTTTGTTTCAAATTCCAAGAGAAATATCGACCCTAAACATCGACCCCCCCTAGACCCTGCATGAGAACAGTACAGCTCACTCTCAGGGCCCACGGAGAGCAGTGTCGGCTAGACAAACTATGAGAAGAAAGACAACATTTTTCAGCTCTTTCAACAAAATTTAAGCTCCTTGCGGGGTTGTGGACCTCCAACATTTGTCCATTTCTGCAGGGTAGACAGAAATCTCTATCACATCTCCCTCCTTTCAAATCATGAAAACCGAGTTCCACGCACCTACACCCAGCATTAAGAGCAGCCACCTAGCTGAGAAAGAACATCTCGAACTGTTTAGAGCCCGTGAAGTGCTCACAAGGAGGACATAAAATCGGCAGACTATCTTGTTTCTTTCACTTTGTAACAAGAAGTCAGGTAAAATCCTACAATTTCAGATATCCAGATTTCTGGATTTACCAAAAAAAATGAGCAACTCTGAGCATTTGTACTGAGTGAGCAGCAACGTTGGCAGGAGGAGAAAAATCTGGAGAAACGAGTAGAGGAGAGAGAAAGAGAGAAAGAGAAAGAGAGAGAGGCTGGTACTGACATTTGTTCAGTCGCAGAACTGCAAAACTTGACTATATCTATATAAGCATTACACAGAAGAGTTGCTGCCAATTATGATTACACAGAGAGAGACACAAGACTGGGGTTATATACCTGTGGGGAATCAATCATTATCTACAACCTAAACCACATTTTGAATATTTCCTCTTTGGAATAAATCATCAAGGTATACATGATGCTCATTTCATCTTGGAGACCAAAACTACAACAACAACAACAATAAAAACAACAACAACGACAACAATTTTCATTCAGAAAATTTTGAACATATTGAAAAAATGAAAGTAACCATTTTTAGCTATAAAATTAAGGAACATTTTGACGAGAAATTATGTGTGATTGGCGAATCCTGAACAAGAGATCAAGGTCACGAGACAAGACGCGTGACGAGAAGGAAAAAACCTGGCAATCTTTTCCTCACAACTGCTTGAAACAACAACAGAATTATTTATGTCCATTAGTTTATCACTAGTACATGGCGTGCGTCAACAGCACAGCACAGGCACACACTCTATACTCTATGTGCAATAGACTCATCATACATCAACGTCGTTGCATCAAAGAAGCAAAAAACTCTGACTCCCACTACATTTTCTCCCACTCACAGTCACAAAACAAACAAACAAACAAACAAAAGCATAAAGATAACCACGATAACCAACATCCTCTCACATAAGACACACAAACAACATTTTTCAGCATCTGGAACCATCCCTGGCAAACGTCTTCAGTCTCACAACTTCTCTACAAGATATCAAGTCTACTATACAGCGCTACTACAGAAATATATAAAACACTCCAGCAAGGCTCATCTACATATTGCAATGTAAAAACAATTTGAAAAATGAAAACAAAGGGAGGGACAAAAACTCTTCTTCCTATTAAATTTTTAAAAAATTTAAACTCCGCTATCAAATGTAGAAAAATTTTCTAAGCTGACAATGCACAATTCTTCAGGAGAGAGAAAAAAAAATTGCAACCAGTGCTACAGATTAAAAACTGCAATGAAATGAATTTTCCAAATTTTGAGCGCATTACATCTGAACAGCTCAGTTGATTTTATATAAATATAGACCTAGTATCAAACACACAGCTCTCCCTGCGTCAGAACTTCAGAAAGTGATATGAAGAACATAGAAATAGAAGATACAAAGAATAAAGTTTACGTCTTCCTTTTGCCCGAGCATCAACAAATTTCTACAACAGTGCCCTCCCCTGTACACACAGCTCACCGGACCTCCCACCGACCACCCACACAGCCATCTCGCAGTAAGCACCTCTGTGAAAATGTACACAATGATAGTAATAGATGGTATTTGTACAGCGTATGTCCCCACTCAAAAGCAGGCTCTATGCGCTGTACACTATATCATCGCCCCAACCGACCATAGAACACTCGGAAACATTCTCAGCTTCCCGGGAAGCATACAGTGCAAGCAGATGTTTACGCCTTCAAACACTAACAAACTGACAAGATCTTTTAAAACAAACCCCTCCGCTCACAACATGTCAGAGAATTGAACATAGCGAAACACTATATGTGAGACAGCGTGGTGGAACCAGGCGCTCGCCAATTTTTGGGCATATTGAGTTATTGGTATCATCTTAAAGCTTGTTCATTTGCCTTGCTTTCAATGAAAAAATTACCCATCCATCTTCAATAGAAGTGGAGCTATTTTGGATTGAACGAGGTGGGGGTCACCTGATTTAAGAGGTAAAATTTGCGAGAAAATGGCTGCCAAAGCTTGGTAAATTCCAAAGCTGGAGAGTCCATGGAAACTGTAAATTTATATTTTGTCCCTTTAATCAACGTTTTCAGTGAAATCCTCAAAGGAATGTGCTTGTAAGTGTTGAGCCAAAAAACAAAAATTTGATAAAAATTGCTAAGCAGGGAGAAAACTGCTGTTTTCTTCGATTTCATTATTTTGACGAGAGCCTGATTCCACCACGCTGCCTCACATAGACTCTGGACCAGCAGGCCAAAACCTCCACATCTTTCTCTTAACAACGCACTGGGCCAAAGGGCACAAGCTTTAAGATACTGGATTCACACGACGAAAGAAGAATCAGTCAAAAACAAGTAGATAGATAAAGGCAGAAGGCGAACATTTTCCTACTTAAGTAAATTTGCCAACAATTTCAGGGAAAATGAAAACGGATAAAAAAGAAAGAAATTCCCCTAAACCCTCAGAGACTACTGGTGTGAATTTTCACCATCTATAAGTAAAGTATGGTACAAAAACAACACGGTCAAGTCACAGGATCAAGCTTCTACAAAACTGAAAGTAATCATTGAGCATCTTTAGTTTCAGTTAGGCTTTTACAGCACTTCTGACACAAATAGGTCATGTAAGTGCTGAAGATTATAGGTCGTGTTACTAAAGAGTAATATAATAAAGAAAAGAAGGAGGAGAAATAAGGACGATAGGTGTTTGATAGGAGAGAAGGAGCAAATCACAGCAGAGCACCCACCAACCACCCACCACTTCTACTGTAGGAGGTCGGCCACTGTGCATCAGATTATCAACGCTGTCATTATCATAATCATCATCATCATCACCACTATCACAATCATCATCATCAAAACAAATCGATATACAACATACAACGTTACAAAGGATTTCTGTCAATCCTCGCTTGAAGATAGAAAAATGTCGAAGAGCCAAGGACTTTCCACAAGAGAAGCAGACGTGTTAAACCTCAGAACATATAGTGCACTGAGCTGAACAAGCAAACAAGTACAGAATTTTGCTTTTTTCCCTATTGCGGTCTGGAAGCATACTAGATGTGACCAAAAAAAAATTCAAGAAATATTCTAATATTACATTAACCTCCTCCTCTATTTTGTTTCCCTTTCCAAGACTTAACCATGTGTTTCTGAACTACAAAAACTGGAAAGAGGCAATACAAATTTAACGTAAAAAATAAACCAGCAAAAGACAAGTAGAAAAAACAAACCTATTCACAGACATAAGCCAATAGAAATACCATGCCCAGGTGCTCTCTGGCATCCGTCTACAGACCCTCTGAACGTGCGGCCTACAGGCACCCCTAGCGTCCATCTAGCGGCCTCTAGCATCTGTCTACAGACCAACCCGCCTGTCTACAGACTAACAGCGCCCTCTAGCGTCTGTCTACAGACCCCCCAGCGCCATCTAGCGTCTGTGTACATCTTCCCAACTTTGTCCACAGGCTCCCTACACCGTTCTATCTACCCGATTACTTCACAGCATTGCGACACACTGACACAAGCATGCACACTGACACACACGCACGCACACACACATACGCACGTCGACACCCATACACACAAAACTTGTGTGTGTGACACAGACAAGTCTTCAAACAGAATACAAAAATAGAAACTCTCCGGTCAAACTCGTGCATCCAGACAAAAGAACTCTTCAGTCAAAATTCTGCAGCTCGACTCTCACAGCCAGCGAACACACCACATATTACTTCACAGAACAACATCACTACTTTCTTCCAACACACTACACATCACTCAACACAACACACCACACATCATCCAAACACGAGACATCACTCCATTCTTCCAACACACCACACATCACCCAACACACAACAGAACGACATCTCAACACACTCTCAGCATGCCACCACACTTCCCAACATGATTACATAGATTCTCAACGGAAAATAAGAAGTGAAAAAAACAAAAAAACTGGATGGAGCCCACACAAACACTAGGACATCGGCTCTGCCGGACACTGGAAGTTTTCTAGCTCGCTGAAGACCCGCTCTGAAACGTGGAGAAAAAGAAAAACAAAGTTAGGAAAATGATACAGAAATGTATTCAAAAATCTAAAATACAAAAAAACACCAAAACAACTTGAAAATGATACAGAAATGTATTCACAGTGATCTAAATTAACCCCCCCACAACACCCCCCCAACAAAAAACAACTTAAAATGATACAGAAATGTATTCACAAAACCTAAAATGAAAAACCTACACAAAAAAAACCCCAACAACTTGATACAACAATGGCAAAACAACATAAGCCAATAAACAACCGTAAGCAAAAATTACAACAAAGTAATAATGATAGCATTGATTTATATATTGCATCCGTGGTCCAGTGGTTAGGCGCTCAGACTCTCAATCATGAGGTTATGGGTTCAAAACCAGGTATGAGCCCATTGGGGCTCATATGACCGTATGCAGTTGCGAGCACTGTAAAGCATCTACTAAAACTTTTTTAAAAAGCATGAGCCCGACGTTGTGTCCTTGGAAAGGCACTTTATTATACAAAATATGTTCCTCACTTCACTCATGTGGAAATGGGTACCCAGCTATAGACAGCCAAAGATCTTGTCAGTTTGGTAGTGTTTGAGTGCTTAATCAGCTGCTTGCACTGTATGTTTCCCAGAAAGCAGAGGGTGTTTCAGGGAGTTCTACGGTCTACTGGGATGATAATATAAATCACATAGAGTGGGGATATGCGCTATATAAATGCCGTCTATCATTGTTGTTATTGTTGTTGTTCCTGTGGTAGCGGCTTTTAGTTTGTTTGTTTCGTAGAGTTTTACGGCACTCGAAACTGCATAAGGTCATAATATGAGCGCCAAGGGGTGGATGTCAACGGAGAAGTCCATATAGGGAATCAGGCTTACTCTGCTCATCTCTCTAGCCTCAACAGCACAAAGTCTGCTTTAACTATCAAGGCACCCCGGAAATAACGGGTCACAAGAGTGTGACAAACATACAAAAGAAGCAGAGGAAAAATGACGATAGTAAGGATGAGGACAGAAAAAGCAGCAGATCCCCTGATGATGTTCCGGCACAGTATGAGCATGACATTGATAAATCAGTCCATTTACAATTCTACAGTACATAAGAACTGTTAATATCCCCCCTTTCAGAACGGCCTAAAGACACTTCAGTCGGTAGCACAGCCGGGGGGGGGGGGGGGGCGCGCAACGCCCTTGTAAACTTTGTACCATTATCCAACAAGCAAGAGCTCCGACTTGAGTCTCCCCACCTGACAGGACCACGTCAATCAAGAGGGCGAAGACTTTTTCACTCTTAGAATACAGCAGGCTATTCCACATTTATACACAGCCTATTTTTTGGGGGGCTCTCGTGGCCTAGAGGTTAAGGTGTTGGCCTCTCATTCAAAGGTCCCGGGTTCGATTCCGAGTAGCGACCAAAAAATTTTCTTCTCTAAAATTGTCTCCTTTCACATCCTTTCCTGATCTCTAACAATGTTCTGTTGTCTGCTTCATTTCTACTTTCTGCCCCCCACCCCCTCACCTCCTTTGCCCCTTCCTCTGGGCTCCTGACTCTTTCTGCAGCCTTTCTACTGCTACTCCTTGGCTCCTCCTAACTGCTGTCTTTCTGCCACACCCCTGATCTTCTGGTAGGAAAGATCTACACCTAGCCTTCTCGGACAAGGGCGAAAAATCTCGGAGGGCCCGTGTGCAAGTTGCGCACGTTAAAGATCCCTTGGTGGTCTAAAATCGATAAGAGTAGGCTTCGGCCGCCACCCGGGCAAAATTCAAAATTTCCTACCAACGAAAAAGTATTAGGTGTGTCCCGCGCGCTCATATGACCTTATGCAGTTGCGAGCGCCGTAAAACCCTATACTAAACAAACAACAACAAACAAACAGCCTATTTTGTCATCCAAGTTTAGGAGATTCACAACCTTCTCTATAACTGCTGGCGAGAATGCAAGACTAATGAGCTAACATACACTCCTCTTGACGACCTTTCACTTTGAGCTGGCATGCACTATTTTAATGACCTATAACTGCCAGCAAGAAAGAACTACTCTTGACGATCTTACACTACACTGTGAGCTGGAATATACAACATTTGACAACCTTACAAAGCCAGCTAGCATGCACTACTCCAACAACTGTACACTGCGAGCTCTCACACAGTACTCACTTTTCCACTCCTCTATGCCCAGCTCCATAAATTACTTTGACAACCTTACGCTGTGAGCAGAACAAGTACCACAAGTACTCACTTTTCAACTCCTCTATGCCCAGCTCCATAAACTACTTTGACAACCTTACGCTGTGAACAGAACATGTACCACAAGTACTCACTTTTCCACTCCTCTATGCCCAGCTCCATCTCCTCAAAGGACTGGTCGTACTTCTCCGCCTCTGGCTCATCGTTGGGGTCGGCGTACTGCTTGAAGTACTCGTGGGCCAGCGCCTCCGTGGCGTTGAGACGCGTGCGGGTGTTCAGGTCCAGCATTCGCTCCATCAGGTCGATGGCTGCAACGACACGCACACAAACACACAGCGGTGAACACACTGACAGACACACAGTGGTGAACACAGAGACAAACACACAGTGGTGAACACACTGACAGACACACAGTGGTGAACACAGAGACAAACATACAGTGGTGAACACAGAGACAGACATACAACACGCAGACAAACAGACAAGAACACAAAATCTATCTATCTATTTATCTATCTATCTCTCTCTCTATCTGACTGTTTGTCTATCTATCTATCAATCTACCTATCTATTTGACTATCTATCTACCTATATATTTATCTATCTATATATCTATCTATGCATCCATCCACCCACCTACCTACCTACCCATCCATCCATCAACCTACCTATCTATTTAACTATCTATCTATCTATCTATCTATCTATCTATCTATCTATCTATCTATCTATCTATCTATCTATCTATCTATCTACCTATCTATCTATCTACCTAACTATCTATCTATCTACCTATCTATCTGTTGAGCAGACTTACCTAGAGGATTAGCTCCCAGAAACACAGACTTGAAGTCTTTCTTCTTCATCACAGGCAGGGACTTGATGAACATTCTCGCCTGGAAATGAGGAAAAAACAGGAATGAAAAATGTAGGTGTTTTAAGTTTAGTTTAAGAAAGAGTTTTACGACATTTGCAACACAATAAGGTCCTATAAGTGCTGAATATTAGAGGTGTTACAAGAGAGTAACAAACACAAAAAAGAAGGAGGAGAGATCAGTACGATAGATGTTTGATAGGAAAGAAGAAGCAAACCACACCAGAGCACCCGCCAACCACCCACTAAAAATGTTTAAGTAATTCGTTATTTCAGTAAACGAAGCACATCGACACAACAATGGTCACTTACTGCTGGGAAGAAGTGAGATAGACAGATAGTACCAACAGCGGGAAAGTAAAGAAGTAGGACCTACCAATGATAAAGGACAGGTACGATGTAAAGGAAATATGAAAACAAAATTACAAAATCATAGAAATCTTAAATTTCCGTCAACTATAGGTCAGCTTCCTCATCAAATTTCCCAAACATACACAGTAGAGAACCACCCCCCCCCCCCCTTTTCCCCTTATATGTTCATTTTAAGGAAATTGAGAAGTTTTCACGTCCATAATAAGATTATGTCCCTTTTATACCTTTCCAAGACTGAAAGCTTGCTATTATTTTGTATTTGCTGCTGGGCTGGAAATTATAGGGTGAAAGATAATGAAAGAAAAATTCGACAGAACCATTAAGAAAGCTAGCAAGATCTCTGGATAATGATTTTACTAGAATTGATGAAATGTATAAGACCACAAGTATAAAAAAGATAAAAAGCATTATAAACGACCCATCACACCCCCTTTTCCACGCAAACTGTAAGATCACGCAGCAGCAGATATGTACCTCTTAAAACAAAGAAAGATATAAAAGAAGTTTTCTACCATCTAGCATACGGCTATTGTCAGAAAAACCATCAGTGTGCATCGCTCTTTCGAGTGAGTATCTATATAACTCTAAAGGTCTTGTAATTAAATTTCTGCATGTGGTTGAATGATGCATCTGATGTGATATGTACATTCTATCAGCTTTACTTCTCTTTTCATATTGAATTTTAATGAGAGTAATACATAATTTAAATGTATTTAAATTTCTATGCATACCTGCGTGGGTTTTTACGGTCATGTACAGCCAAGAAAGATTTCCCTGTGGGATAATAAAGTATTATCTTATTTCTTATCTCATCTTATAAACTCACATCATTGCTTTTGATTTCCTTCATGAGTTCTTCGCTCGGAGTGCCGGCCAGGTTCAAGATTCGGGTCAACTGGTCAATGTCTGGTTACCGTCAAGGACACAACACCCTGCTCAGCTTTTAGGTTCAGATAGAGGTTTACAGCACTTGCAACACAAATAGGTCATATAAGTGGCAAAGATTAGAGGTGTTACAAGAGAGCAACAAACACAAAAAAGGAGGAGAGAGAAGGATGATGGATGTTTGGTAGGAAAGAAGGAGCAAACCACAACACACAGAGCACCCGCCAAACACCCTCTATCCTCCCACACCTACGGGATTAGAGGCAAAAAAGAAAAATGAACATCTCGAAGATAGAAAGAATAAATGAATGAAAGGAAGGAGGGAGTTACCTTTTGTGAGTAGCCAGATTTTAGCCAATTTGCATGTGAAAATCTATTGCCGACCGAGCCGCACACAGGGACAATGGTCGAGTGTGTGGAGTGTGCAAAAATCTGCAATCTGACAGTTTTTAACACAACTTATTGCCGAGTTACCGTAAATATCCGAGAAGTTACAGAGGCAAGTGAGGATCCTTTGCCACGGAATACCGATAAGTCAACAATGTCCCACAAAAAAAGGATACGGTCACTGCCAGGGAAGAGAGGTTTGCCCATCAACATCTCCGCCATGATACAGCCCACAGACCAGATGTCCACTGGGGGAAGGAAACAAGGGAAAATACAAATTTTATATAAAGTCAACACTCCCATTCCATATATTATAGTATGTGGCATCGTGCTGAAATCAGATGATCATCAAACTCATCAAAACTGAGCAATTTCTATTGATTTTTGTTTTACCCCAACATTGTACATCCATTAAAGAATATTATATTTCTGTGGGAATTTCATTTTTAAAAACATTGATTGAAGGCACCAAAAATATATAAATTACCAGTTTCCAAGGACACTCAAGCTTCAAAAGCCACAAAATTTTACGTTACACCAAGCGACCCCCTGCTTCTTTAATCACAATTATCTCCACGGGGGGTTGTTCATAAAAATCAGACAAATAAGCAAGCTTTAAGAGGATTCTAAAGGCACCTGTCTGGTTGTAGTGCATCCAGTTGAGCATGATCTCTGGCGCGCGGTACCAGCGGGTCGCCACATAGCCCGTCATCTCCTCGTCTGAGTGCCGGGCTAGACCAAAGTCCAGAATCTGTACAAGGGGGAGACAAAAACTTGGTTGTAAGAGGCTGTTTGTTTTAATAAGCATTTTACAGCTTTTGCAACACGATTACACTGTATAATAGGTACCAAAGATTAGGTGTTACAAGAAAGTAACAAACACAACAAAGGACAAGCAATAAGAACAACAGATATTTTAGTTTAAGTAAGACTTTTACGGCACTTGCAACACAATAAGGTCATAAAAGTGCCGAAGATTAGAGGTGTTACAAGAGAGTAACTAACACCCAAAAAAAAGAGGAGAGATCAGGACGATAGATGTTTGATGGAAAAGAAGGAGCAAACCACATCAGAACACCCACTAACTACCCACATATGAGGTTACAAACAGATCAGAAAAAGTTCAGACTAAGAGTCTCAATGCAGTTCCAAAGTGCTAACCAACATCTAAAATAAAATCCTCAACTTTTCAGACCCAAAGGAAACACTTACAGGGACTCAAACTTTACAAAATAATATTGTCTAATACATCTTGTACCAAGACTATTTTTATATAACATGCAATATAACACACACAAAGAGATTAAAATATAAATAAATGTATAAGCAGTAATATACCACAAAATCAATCCTGATCTCCCCCCCCCCCCCCCCCCCCAAATAAAAATGAAAACAAACATCGTGCCCCTCCCACTTTAGTCTTAGCTTTAGTAAAAGTTTTACAGCACTTGCAACACAATAAGGTCATACAAGAGCCAAAGATTAGAAGTGTTACAAGAGAGTAGCAAACACAAAATAGAAGGAAGGGAGATAAGGACGATAGATGTTTGATAGGAAAGAAAGAGCAGACCTCACCTTGAGCTCACAGTCTTCATTGACAGCGATGTTGCTGGGTTTGAGATCCTGTGGGGAGGGAACAGGAAAAAAAAGGGAATGAAATATCCAAAGTCAAAACTAGACAACAATATAAGAACAAACTGCTCCGCCAATAGGTAGCTTGACCCTTTATTAAAACAGGCTGCTCTGTTGAACTTATAGGGGGTGGGGGTCAGTGGGAGCCGTATCTTTGCTCACTGTTGTTGCTGTTGTTGGTGGTGGCGCTGCTGCTGGTGTTGCAGTGTTGGTCCTACAGACGTCTGTTAACACTGTGCCATCATGAGGCTCATATAGTAAAAACTCTTGCCATCAAAGGCAAAGGCATTTTGGGGAAAATCCAAAGAAACTGGGAGGTAAACATCGCCGATCGGCGAGATGTGACGGCAAAGTGTAAAAGTGGACTCTGGCATATAACAGCACACCACATATGGGCGAACTACCATTGCTCACCTGATGACAGTAAATGTCAAACTCCCCCTTTTACCTGACGTAGCTTATCACAGGAGGAGGGGAGCTGTGATAACTGGCCTGTCAGAAGGCTAGACTCACTACATCCCCACAGAAAAACTACAATTGGTCGCTTAAAAGGACAAGTGGGCTATCCCAGATTTCAGGTTTCCAGAAATTTTGACCTTCATCAAAAGTGGACCAAAAGGAGAAGTCTGGTTTTATTGGAGTATATATTTGTTTGGTTTTAGGGAAAACTCTCTTTGTCTATTAAAGAAGCTGAACAAGTGGCAAAAACTTTACCTTTTTCTCAAAGCAGCATTTTTGGGATAGCCTCCTTGTGTTTAAAAGCGACCAATTCTGAGCATAGATATCCCCTCCACGTGGGACTGAAGCTCATGTATTTTGCATGCAAGACGAAGAACCAAACTATTCCATGACAAACGCCAGTTATTATAATAATAATAATAATAATAATAGACAGCATTTGTATAGCGCAAATCCTCACTCAACAGCAAGCTCTATGTGCTTCACAATCTATACTATTAGCATTACCCCAGCAGACCTGAGAGCATTCTGAAACAACCTCAGCTTCCTGGGAAGCATACAGTACAAGCATCCATTTTAAAGGTGCTAAAACTAACAATAATACTTACCCTGTGGATGATTCCAGCTGAGTGGATGTACTGAAATGAGAGAAGGAAGACAGAGATGTATAAATACTGTAAAAACAACATTGTTTTACACGGGACTTTAAAAAAAGATTAACTCAAAGGACAAAAACCTCCGAACGGAAAGTGTATTAAACATGATATAAATGACAGATATTAATAATAATTGCTTTTACATACTGCATATCCATGCTCTACAACCATGCAACGCTGTGAAAATTTGAGCGCTAGTGAGAAACAGGGTTCCTGCCATGAACTCCCCACCAAATTCAAGGAGATTTCAAGAAGAAATTTTAAAATTCAAGGAGTTTTGGTCAAGAAATGCATGCCAAAAGCCTATTTGCAATAGGCCTACACATGTCTGAAAGGAATCGTAGTTTCGATTTTCCGACAAAAATTTTGTTCATGTCCGATCCGGCGACATTCAAGGAGTTTTCAAGGAGATTCCTCAAATTCAAGGAGTTTTAAAGGAGATTTTTCCTTGAATGCAAATTTAAGGAGTTTTCAAGGACTCCTTGAATTCAAGGAGGCCGCAGGAACCCCGGAGAAATTGTCATTGTTGTTTTACACAGTGACCTCAGTAATGTAAGCTATTCAAAATTGCGTACATTCTGACAAGGTTGTTTTTGGACAATAAACTAAGACACCAAATCAACAATGGCTTCAATTTTCGCAGGGCAAAAAAAAAATTCCTGAATGTCAATAGCATTTCAAACCCATGTGCATTTAGTGAAAAGATAACTGACATATTATAGTGGTGCAAACATGGGCTTGAGAAAGTTTGTTTGTTTTAGTAAGGTTTTTTTAAAAATTGTTTTTGTAAGAGTTTTATGGCACTTGCAACACAAAAAGGTCATATAAGTGCCGAAGATTAGAGGTGTTACAAGTGAGTAACAAACACAAAAAAAAAGGAGGAGGAGAGATCAGGACGATAGATGTTTGATAGGAAAGAAGGAGCAAACCACACCAGAGCATCCGCCAACCACCCACTTTGTAAGGTTTTACGGCGCTCGCAACTGCGTAAGGTCATAAGAGCGCCACATGAGAAAGTGACCAGACTACAGTACAGTAAAGAAGTGTAAGGAGCAGACCACAGCGCCGACAAGCACCCACCTTGAGGCCTCGGAGGATCTGGTAGACGAGGAACTGTACGTGGTCGTCGCTGAGTCTCTGTGTCTTGAGTATGTTGTTCAGGTCAGCTCCCATCAGAGGGGATACCAGGTACCTGTGTAGCAAATGACACAATG